GCAGGAAACCTGTGTTCCCCCATAGGCCAAGCACAGTACTGAACACTTTTGCCCTGTGAGAAGAATATTGCAGCTTTAAGCCATCAAGTTGCTTTACTACTAAATACATGTTCTGTAATCCTTTTTTTAACCCATGGTTGAGATGGTTATTTCTGCATCATTTGTGCTGTGAAAACTGTGCTTCACACAAATTCCTCAAAGTAAAAAAAACAAAGAGAAAGGGTTCTTCAGTTCACTTTTTGCACAGAATATGAATAAATTACCCTCTGAGGAAGATTTGTAAGGTTTCTTGTGGCTTTAAAGGGACTAACAAGTCCCCCTTTGTAAAAAAGGGAGCACAGTGTCCTAGCAGCTGTTTACTGTAGTGTTCAGTTATCTGAGAAGTGACCAAACGTGAGTTCCACCTAAAAGTAGTCTTTTGGGTGTAAGTACTTTGATTTTGGTTGGCATCATAAAGGTCTTTATAAAGACATGATAAGCAGTTTGAAAAGTCTATATTGTAATTTAGATAAAGTTATTCTAATAGCATTATTATTTTTACACTGTAAGTAGGATATAACCTAAATGTCAATTGGGAATAAGAATTACAATGGTTCTACCTGAGGCAGATGGATCTGCGTGTGAAACTTAGGGACATAACTCCTCATAGTAAAAAGTTGAATGTATGAATAGTAAAACAAGTATTATTTACCAGTATCTGGGGAGAAAAAAGTCTTTTTTTTGTCCAGACATGCAACATGAATCCTGTTGTGTTTCCATCTCTGAACAAAGCAGACATCAGGAATGGCTTTGATATTGCACATTCACAAATTACAGATTTTCCTGTTCTTTCAACAGCTCTTTTCCATCTGTCATATCATAACTCAATAAATTCAAACTGAGGCACTGAAATAGCTTTCCAAGAACTTGATTAACTCTTTTCACAATCAATTTACTGTGCTCCTAACAGATTTCATGTATAACATTACCCACAAATGTCAAATAGTCTCCGAGTTCTCTTCTGGAACAGAGTCTAGTGGGACAGACACAATTTTTTACTGCTTTTTATAGTGTCTGTGAAGTTCTTTTTGGAGGGAGTAGAGGCTCCTGCCTGTGTAGTGTGAAAAACTCACACTCTTGCACCTAAAATGCTTGTATGGATTGGAAGGCTTGTTTGCAGACTAATAACTTTGTGCTAAAAAGTCCACAAAGACTTTCTAATCGGTTGTCATTGGGATTGGAAAGCATTTGGAATGATACATGTAAACCTGTGGGGCTTGTATTTTAAATAAAGGGTGATTATTTGGTTGATTTGGGAATGCTCCTGGTTTGAAATGAAGTGTTTATGAAGGGGGTTTATGGAAAACCTGGATGGATAAAGGAGGTTTTTTAATGAATCTTTGTGTTGGGAGATCAACCCTCTTCTCCCAGTGCTTTTTCTTTGATTCCTTCACCACCCTGAGGGACCCTGATCAGCAGTCGTGCTTCTGTTTAGGATTTGTAGGACATGGTTGCTCTGTAGTTGGCAACATAAGATCTGCAGTACCGTAAATAAATTTGTTTATTTAATCTTATAACAAGTCTTTTTACTGGACTTAACTGATGATTTGGTGCATATATTTAATCTTACTGTGTGAAAAAGCTGCTATGGAAAAAATGTAGATTATAATAAATATGTAAACAACCGATTTTTCATGTTAGGAAAATGTTATGGAGGAACTGATATATTTTAGTATGAAATAACCAAAATATACTGAATTATCTCTGATAAAGCTTTACTGGAAATGGTTTTGGTGTTGGCAACCCCTCCATAGTTTTTATTTGTGTTGGTTTTGAGACAAGAGGTTTATGTTGAATAATACATTTAATTAACCTTGTAATTTCCCCTTTATCATCTTCTGGTAGTGCTTTAGCAATGGGAGCAGGCAGTTCTGCTCTCTTGTGCTCACGTATAGCTGAGGAGACAGACTCGCTAATTCTCCTGGACATCTCTAATACGTGGAGCTGTAGTTGGAGCAATGGGCTGTAAAATGAAAACAGTGGATTGTAGTTTTTCATCTCAAATCCCAAAATATAGGTTTGTATGTCTCCTGTTGCTAAATATGTTCTCTAAGCTTTTCCTTCTGTGTGGTTCCTCTTGCTCTAAGGGAGAAAAACGTGCTTCAAGTCTCATTTCTGCAATTCCTGGCAAAGTTGCAGTTTTGTAACTCAACCAAATAGAATTGTGCAAAGAAAATTATTGCTAAGCCATTGAAATGAAGTGAGAAAATCCAGAGTATTTCTACAGGGCACATTTCCCGCACACACTCTTTAAATCTCAGCCATAACTTACCCCCAGCCCTGCTTGGGAGCGAGCCTGAGCAAGGGAGGAGGCTTTGGGACCAAGAAATGAGGGCTTCTGGTAATAAAAGAGCGTGTCCTTCCTGGGAAGGCACAGTGTTTTTTCTCAACCAATATTGATTCCAGGAGCTTTTGCGTATCAGAATG